CGGCAAATCAAACTACAGTTTAGCAGATTTGATGGCAGCAATACAAGAACAGCAAAAGAAACAAGAAGAGAGACAACAGCAGTTGCAAGAAAACCTGCAACAGTGGCAGCTCGAACAGCAAAATAAACAAGAGAGATTACGGCAGTTGTTGGAGGAAAAAGAAAAGAAACAAGAAGAACGAGACAAGAAACAAGAAGAACGAGAAAAGAAACAAGAAGAGAGATTACAGCAGTTGTTGTAGGAGAAAGAAAATAAACAAGAAGAGAAATTACAGCAGTTGTTAGAGGAAAAAGAAAAGAAACAAGAAGAACGAGAAATTAAACAAGAAGAGAGATTACAGCAGCTATTGGAGGAGAAAGAAAATAAACAAGAAGAGAGATTACAACGGCTATTAGAGGAGAAAGAAAATAAACAAGAAGAGAAATTACAGCAGTTGTTGGAGGAGAAAGAAAATAAACAAGAAGAGAGACAAGAACAGTGGCAACTGGAACAAGAAAGGAAACAAGAAGTACAAATGGAAAACATTAGTAAATTTAAAAGCGAATTAGATACGTTAAAGGACGATCTATTGTCTTTTACACAAGGAGGATACATTGACTTAACGGGACTGAATATGTCTGCATTAGGGTTTAGCTGCGGGCTCTGTAAGGGGCTTGCCATTGTCTGGGGCTGATTAAGTCGATGAAGTCACGTCCCAGATATGAATGTTAGTAATAGGAGTGATCCAGTGCGAAGGAAGCCACAGGAATTCGATGGGAAGGCACCGTGGGAAGCATATAGAGCACAGTTTGAGTTACTGGCAGAGATGAATGGATGGACAGAGGAGCAGAAAGCTGTATATCTGGCAACGAGCTTGAAGGGACAACCACTGGAAATACTTGGACTGTTGACAGCAGCGGCCAGACACAACTATAGAACACTGGTGTCGGCTCTCGAACTCAGATATGGAACTCAAAACCAGTCAGAAGTCTACAGGGCCAGGTTCAGGACGAGAGTCCGTGCTAAAGGGGAGAGCCTGCAAGAGCTGGCACAGAACTTGGAGAGCATGGCACACAAGGCCTACCCAACTGCACCACCCGATCTCCTCAAGTTGTTGCTGAGGGATCAGTTTGTAGATGCGTTGGACAGTCCAGAACTTAAGATACAAGTGAAGCAAGCACACCTCTCTACCATGCAGGATGCAATGGCCAGAGCTCTAGAATTTGAATCCTACGTTAGGTCCAGCACAGAGGTACAGAGGTTGGTACAGTCACCTGGATTCAAGGCCAGAAAAGGTCAACTTTCAGAGAAGTTTGCTTTTCTGGATACCAGCCTTTCCTGCTGTGGCACCTCCCCTGTATTGAAGTTTCCAGCATTGAGCTCTCTTGTGCCCAGGTTTATTACAGTGCCAGCAAAGTCCCTTTGTTGGAACTGTGGAAAGCACGGACATTTGAGGAGCCAGTGTAGGAGGAATATTACCAACAGGTCAGCCTCACAGAGACCAGTAGTGGTTGGTGTTGAGTGACGCCCATCAACCCCATCTTGAAAGTCCCAACAGCTAGGTATAAAATGCCAAGCACATAGTATCTACGTGACAGGGAAGCTGG